AATAAAAAATAAAAAAAATTGGGAGGTCCATTTTGGGGGGGGGAGGGGATAATGGGTCAGTCAGGAAGATGTTCCTGCAATGAAGATGTTATTGCTGCTTGATTGCTTACAGTAAGGATGCAATTTGGATTGGGAAATATCATTTAAATATGTTGTTACCTGTTCTTTCCATCGGGAAAATAATTTCGAGTTTGGATTGGGAAAATAATTGAAGTTTCAGTCGGTTGTTTTCACAGAAATGTTGGTACAGAGGAGTTATGGAGGTGGGTATGCATTCCAACTGGAGTAGATGAAGCATATGAAACGGCGTGCTTGCGTGAATTGCAGGTTTCCGATGTATAAGTGAACGAAGCTGTCTTGTCTTGTAGGTTATGTATCACTTACCACTAATTAAAAGGAATCCGCAACGTCATAAGGAAGCTATCGATCTGGGCCGTGCACTGCCAGACAGACCAGATTGTCAGCCAATTACCCATATATATATTTATGACGGGTCTGTGATCTCGGGTGTCTGCAATTTCTGACAGCCCAGATTGTCAGCCAGTGGGGCCTAAAACTTGGTGATCAGCTGGCCATCTGGGCCATTGGCTGGGGAATGGTCCAGATCAGTTACAGCAAACCGGGCCAACCGGCGCTCCCCGCACTGACACGGTAAATTTTGTTGTGCTGTGTTGCCACCCTCTGGCTTGATCTAAGGCCGTGAGCACCGAGGGAGATACAGTGGGAAAGAGATAGGGGGGGAGGGAGGGAGGGAGGGAGGGAGGGAGGGAGATGCTCGCTCCAGGGGGAGGGAGGAAGGGAGAGGTGCAGTGCTGGAGGGAAGGAAGAGGGAAGATGCACGTTCACGGGGGGAAATGGGGAGGTAAGGAGGGATGAAGGGAGTTGGTGGAACTCGGAATGTGCGCTACGGGAGGGGGATAGAGGGGCACGTGCAGCCTGACCTTAGGGACTGAGGAGGGCAGGAAAGGGGAGGGGAGGAAAGGGGAGGGGCACGCCGATAGCAAGATAGTAGGGGGGGAGGTTGAGGTGCACACCCGGAAGGGGAGCAAGGGAGATGGAGGTGTACTATGGGAGGGAGGGAGCGACGAAGATTGATATTATGCGCTGCTGCAGTTGTCAAATGTGGTCTTAGCACACCTCCTGCACCTGGTCACAGTATTCTGCAGAGGTACATGGTGGTACATATTACAGCCTGGTAAAGTCGTGAAATAGCTGCATGGTACAGGTAATGCATCTGTTATGGTGCTGTGCAGAGGTACATTCTGATGGGTCTTATGGGCTGAATCTGATGATGCAGTTGTGATGGTGATTATGTGTCACTAGACATTATGCACCTGGTCATCATCCTATGAAAGGAACTTGTGGCTGCTATATGACATCAAAAGTCGGCATCGGTTTTCCCTGAATAGTGTTGCCAAGGTGTTTCAGACAGATCAGTGGGGAAAGGGGGGCTGTCCAGGGGGA